AACAGATAATCACAACTCATTTCCCCCGACCCCATTTATTCCCTCGTCTGCTTGTCGTAATAATCTTTGATATCTATGCAGGCGCACCTCTTGGTTTCAGGCTGCTGCTTGGTGGGTTCTTCTGTACAGTCGCTTTAACACATTTTTTTAGTGCATTTTCTTCTGTTGTTCCTACAACCTTCAAGGTTTTCTCTCTTTCTTTCATCTTCCCTTTAACTTTTATTATTTCTGTATGAACTGACTGTGCGATGGATCATGCTTCTCAATCATTTTCTTTATGTTCTCTTGCTTGGATCATAAACTGGATAGCCTCTTTTCCATGAACATGGAGCAAGGAAAGTTGGGATTTCCTTGTTTTTCTTTATATTTTGTTTGGAATTGGATCTGTTTTGTTAGTCAGATATCTGATTCCATCCATTACTACACAGAATTGAAGAATTCCTATCTGGGTTTTCTCTCAGTTCCTTGGAACTTTCTTCCACTTTTCTCCATTTCTGTTCTTAAAGTATAAGATTAAATAACAGGTGGTCGGATCTAGTATGAACTACCAGACAAAAAGGGGGTGGGAATCTTGAGAGGGGCCGATCTTGGGTACCCTTTGATTGAATATTTGAATTTGGGGTTTGAATTTTCCGTTTAGATTTAAGAAGTTCTTGTTAAGTTAAACCTTTCCTGTCTTTTTACATGAACAGGACTGTGGATTTGCTTCAAAATTTCCCTAACAGAGCATTGCATATGAACAGATTGTTGTTAGCTTATAATTCTAAGTACTGAAGGTGATCAAGTGGCTTATATTTTCCTGTTTATAGTCAGTCAATGGATTGATAATCTTGTTTTTTGACTTATGGGAAACCATGAAAACATTCCTATTGTGACTTTAAACTTAAAATTTGGCCTCTTGAAACTTCTTGAGCTGACCTTCTGCTATGTATATTGTTATTTTATTGTGCAACTTTTGAAAGATGGAAGGTTTTGACTTAGCTTTTTTACTTTTCTGTTCTTGCCTATGAATGACAGACTCTTTGGTGCATGTCTTGAGAAAATCCATTGGAAACAGTTCATTTGAATCATGAAAATTGGTAAATCTCATGTTCTTATTCTTTTTTTTCCCCCTTTTTCCTGGTAACCATGTGAATTTGTAGCAATTATTCATGTTTCCTGATGATTTTACAGAGGGTGAAGCCGTAGTTTGCCATTCAAATGCTGGCCCCAAGTTTGTTCCTAAGTCATTTGAATGTGATAATGATGCTATTGATTCTGGTGGGATGAAGCTACCAGATCAGAAAGAACTTGCAAGCCGTCCGAAAGGTTATGAGGATGCCGATCGCAATAATATTGCTGCAGATGGTTGGGTTGTACCTAAGCTTGATTGTTTAAATTTTGATGATTTTAATGACTATGACAAGGCTAAACCCGTTGTGTCACCGCGCACGAATTCTTCGGAAGTAGACTTGTTCGAGGAAGACTCGGAGTTGTTCATGGAAAAGAGTATCGTTGAATGTCAACTTCCTGAACTGATAGTTTGTTACAAAGAAAATATTTGCAATATCGTTAAGGATATTTGTATCGACGAGGGAGTACCTTCTCGGGATAACCTTGAGAAGGCTGTCCGTGCCATTGTCCCTCCTGAGAAAGACTGGAAGGATGAGTCGACACGAGACCTGGCAAAAGGAGAGACGTTTGCTTCAGATGATTCAGAGCATTCGGAATCGTTTGGTGACAAGGATTCACCCAAACTACGCGATTCCAAGGATTCGGCTAGAACACCCGACGCGGAGTATGATGTGGCATATTTTACTGACAATGATATAATAAATCTTCCAATGACAGACTTGGTTGCAGGGAGCTTAAAGCCATTGATCAACAATAAGAATGAGCCTCACTCTCAGGCTGAACAGGCATGTTTTTTCTTGGGCATAATGGGACTTTCATTACTGTTCTTGTTGGCTCTTTATAGCTCAACCATGGTCATGTTGTAACGGTGCATGTTAGAAGGTGACCGTATTTCGTTTGTTCTGATGCAGGTTTTGATTGAAGCTACGAGTTTGAAACTCGCTGTTTCGGCATGTGTAGCTGAAGAATCTGGTAGTAACCCGAAAGAAGCAATGTCAGCATTCACTACATCAGCTCCCGTACCGGAAGATCCCGAAAATAGCGCTTCTGGGAGTGATATATCATATAATAGTAAATTGGACAATGGAAACATCACTTTTGATTTTAATTCTTTATCATCCACAGCTAGTGATGGACTCGAGCGTTGTGATAATGGCGACTTAAACCCTTCAACTCCTTCGACCAGTGCCTTGATGGACTGCCAAGACACGAGCAGCAGCTCGAGCAGCTCCAAATGTCAAGTGCAGTGTCACGATACTAGTATTAGCCTCAAACGTGTGGAATATGAAGATGTACTGAAGGCAGGAGTTGGGAATTCTGTAAGTCATCAAGTTTTGAGCCAAGTTCAACGTGGTGGCGTAGGTGAAGCAAGTTTCTCTTCAATGGTACCGTTCAGGAGTAATTCAGATCGTATAGGGTACTCCGGCAGCATTTCTATTCGGTCGGATAGCAGCACGACGAGCACCCGTTCCTTTGCATTTCCTGTGTAAAGCTCTATTTCTCTTATAATGTCTGCATAATTTATAGTAGATTGGAACTAATGAGACCAATATCTTTATCTTCCTGCAGATTACAACCCGAGTGGAATAGTAGCCCTGTTAGAATGGCTAAAGCTGATCGAAAGCATCTACGAAAGCATAGGTGTTGGAAAAAGAGCATTCTGTGCTGTAGATTCTGAAACCTTTTACTAATTTATTCGTAGGTTTAGTGTCGAAAATATAAACGTTTACTTCACACACACACTGTCGGGTCATTTTACGAGATTAGTCGAAATACGTATTAGTTGATTCGAACACTCGATGCAGATTAACATTGTTTTGACTGTAAAAGGAGTCGGTGATGAGTTTGGCTTGCTCAAGTGTTCTTATGAGCTAAACCAAGAGTGTTTGACAAAATCATTTGGTTTGTGGAATGGGAAAAGCTTGTACTGCTGAACATTGCTATAAATATATAGATATACAACATTCTTTTGCGAACATGGGGTCGATAGCCATGGCCTTACTCGTGCTTGTTTTTCACTCTATTGTTGTCAGATCTCATATCTCACATTGGTTGAAGAGGCGAACTCGTGTGGAAGTCTAAATAGAATAATATCTGCCACTGATGGATATGAGCTATTACAAATGGTATCATAGCCATATACTAAGCGGTACACTAGCAAAGACGCTGAGCCGCGAAAGGGAGTGGACACTAGTCGGTGTGCCAGCGACTTCGTTGAGCCTTGAAGGGGGGTAGATTGTGAGATCCCACATTTTTCTTATAAGAGTGGAAACTTCCTTCATAGCAAATGCGTTTTAAAAACCTTAAAGGGAAGGTCGAAAGGGAAAGTCTAAAGAAGACAATATCTGCTAGCGTTGAGCTAATTTGCTCGACGAGGAAGTTCAAAATACCACAAGTGCGAGTGAGTTGTAGGGGTAAGTTGTCATTTTTATTCGTTTCCTTGACAATCACTTAAGTTAAAGCGTTTTATTAGTGCTTCTTCACTCTACTCTTCCTTTCAATGCTTTTCTGTTCGTACGTACCTTTAATCGAGAGATCAAAAATTCAAATCCTCATGACCATCACATATGTTGTTGAATTGAAAAAATGACGTGTTAGTATGAGTCGAAGTCATGTGTTATACTTTTTTTTAGCTTAACAATTATAAAATGTAAGATCGAACCATCGACTTTTGAAATGATGACATATGTCTTATCTATTAAGCTATGCTTAGAATGACCCGTTTTATATTACAATAAGAGCGTAATTGTTTTTAATAAATGCATTATGAGTTACGAGTTCTAGGAAAAGGCATTAATTAATATCATTGCAACATTTGCAGGCCTGCCAAGGGAAGCAAAACAGTTTTTCAAAGCAAAACGACGTCGTCCGGCGTCCTTGAAGTTGGCTCATATTTCTAATCTAACCCCCTAATTTTTTCATTATTACAATTTTAGCCCAATAAAATGAGGGATTTGCATCCTTAACCATCTGTTGTGGCCGACAAACTATTTTAGGGATTTGATATAATTAATAATAATCAAATTAGAGGGCCCCACTTCGTTTCTCTATATTTCATTTTATTTATTTTTTATTATTATTTCTTTATTAGTATCTTTTTTTAATTATTTAAATATTTCTTGGCAGAAAATCAAGGATCCGTTGTCGTTTCCATCAACCATGTGTCGGCTAAAATATTTTGTAGTTTATATTTATATTTAATAATTTAAATTTTATGATTGAAGGAAAAAATTACCTAATTTACCATAGTTCCTGATTCTCTCGTGATTCTTAAATAAAACGCGTATATTATATAGAGATTTTCACTCTAAGAAATGTTTCGTTTCTTTCTCCAATCAATATAGAATCTCACAATGGTCGGACTCTAATACCATTTATAACAGGCTAAGCTCACTGCTAGTAAATATTGTTCGCTTTGGCTCGTTATGGATCGTTGTCAGGCTCACAATTTTCAAAACGCGTATACTAGGGAAAAGTTTCCACACCCTTATAAGTAATTTTCCTCTCGGGAGTCCAACGTTCTCACTGATACATTGTTTGGTATCTGACCCTGATACTATTATAAGGGTGCAGAAACCTCTACCTAATAGACACGTTTAAAACTATGAGGCTAACGACGATACGTATATATGTTAACAGTGGAGACCAAATAATTTTGGATAAGGATCGTTATAATAAAGTTAAAAATTAGTTTAGATAGTTATAAATTTAAAATTATGTCCTTTTGGTGTGATAGGATCACATAAATAATAAAATTCTAAAAATTAAATTATATGGATGGTTGTAAATGGAGGATAAATTTGTAATTTACTATTTAATCAAATAAATGGGCCGAAGCCCAAAAAAAATGGAAAATACAAATAAAGGCTTTGTAAAAGAAACGTCGCTGAATACAAAAGCGCGTTACCGGGAACGAGAGTGGACAAGAACAGAACAGAACGGAGCAGAAGAAGCGAAGAAGAAGAAGAAGAAGAAGAGTTAATGGAGGATTTATGGAAGAGAGCGAAATCCTTCGCAGAAGAAGCGGCGAAGAAGTCACAGACCTTAACGTCGACCTCCACACTCACTGAATTGGTCTCTGAAACTGCCAAAAAGTCCAAGGAGCTTGCTGCTGAGGCCTCCAAGACTGCTGATCTCATCAAAACAGCCGCCATCAAGCAGGCCGATCATCTCAAATCACTCAACGTTTCCGACATTATACCTCCTCAACTACCTTCCATTTCCATCCCCAATTTCTCCGCTCCCTCGCCGCATTCTCAGTCTGAGCTCGAGAAGTTTGGCCTCAATGACGATCTGAGAGAGTTTGTTAGGGGCTTTACTTCAACTACTTTCAAGAACTTTCCGATCCAAGGTAGAAGTAAATTCGGGGAATGTGATGTTAATTTTCGGATTGGAAATTTTTCTATGGTTTTAACATGCGTAATTGACGTGGATTGTTTTGATGATTAATGTAGACGAACCGGAGGCGTCTGACGTTGCGGTTACGGCTTCTAATGTGCGTAAGGATCTGACGGAATGGCAAGAACAGCACGCCACGCTGGTTCTCACCAATGTCAAGGTGAGACGAAATGTTTTAATTCATTGTAATTTTGATTGAATTTGATTAAATCGTGCACTGTTTTGCTAGGAATCTATTGTCCCCTACTGATTTAGGTTCTTTGATTTTGAATTGTTTATCATTCTGGGATATTGCGCTATTTTTTTTTTTTTTAAATGAAACAAATTTTCATAGAGAATCGAAAAAAGTACAGTTAATACGGTGTGAACCAAGCAGTCCAATTCAACTAAATCACGGTCAGGCTGAAACTTGGTTTTGATTTTTCTGCCCATTGCTTCTCTAAATTTCTATTTGATCTTTCTGGTTCTAAACTTCATTTGAATCAATGCATGTCTGGTGCTTTACCCGAAAAAGGAAAAGAAGGAACTCTTCCTACTTTCAAAAGCTATTGTTGGATATGACTTCAAAAATCAGAAGTCTGACGTCCAGCTTCTTCTGTATGTTTAATTTGTGGTGTGGTCTCCCACATGCTAATCAGAGTTGGATCTCATTCTCTTTATCAAGAACTTATGCGACAAGGAAGTATTGAAAAGAAGCATATGGAAAAAAAAAAAAAAAAACCCCGTTCGTATAGTAAAACTTTAAAAACATGCCTACTCAGTACTCGTTGCATTTACACTTTGGTGATCTTCATTTCTCTCATGTCAAATGATTAAAACACCACATCTCATCCATATATAACTTTTATAGCTTTCAGAATTTGCTGAATAGGACAGCTACAATTGCTTAATGCTTGTTCCTATAACACCAATCAATAAAAACACGCCAACTGTTGACCCTAGATGATGCATAAATCACGAAAGATTGCACCCAGATGGTACACATGAATTTTAGTTGCACTTGATTAATCTGTTAGTTCAGAGTTGTTAACCTTTGATTGTCTTCATCAGCAAGAGTAGATCGTCGTCGCCTTTTCATTTGCTCCTGTCATGATAGCCATAAGTGAATCTTCTTTTCATCCAAAATACAAATTTAAAATGCCCCAATATCTCAACTCTGTTGCAGGAAATTTCCAGATTAAGATATGAACTATGTCCAAGAATTATGAAAGAAAGGATATTCTGGAGGATATATTTTACACTTGTCAGCAGTCATGTTGCTCCGTAAGTTGCATTTCTTTTAATTGGAGCTCTTTCTGTCTAATCTTCAGTTCAGTCTTGCATGCTTCGTTGTTTCTTATTGTAAGTTGGAAGAAATATGCCACCACTTGCCAAGCATCTAACATTGAGGTGTTTCTACCATCTCGAGAAATTTACTTGTAGACTAACCATACTGGAAAATAGTTTCAAGGGTTCGACGTGCTTCTTTTTCATCACTTTTTATTTAACCTCCTCACTGAATTATTGAAGCATCTGATTTTCTGTTGATTGTATACACCAATTTGGCTTTACATATTAAATACAGGGTTTTTGTTTTGGTTTTTCTTATTTAAGAAAAGCATTTTAGATTAGTACATTTGCAGGTATAAGAATTTTTAGGAATTATGTAAGTTATATTATTGTGATATAGCCCGACGTAATATACCATTTAGAATAAATATCACATTGGAGAATGAATGGCTGTCAAGTCGCTGCACCTTTATATATATATATCTTATCACCAAAGGATTCTGTTTTAGTAGTATACACTCTTAATTGTTTAAAAAACACAGATACGAGAAGAAATACATGGAAGAGATTAAGCTGAAGTCTGAAGAACAAAGAACAGCTGATGAAACCAAGCAAACTCCGTTGGTTGGTTCCTCTGAAAAAGTTGAAGTGGCGGAAAAGAACCTGAAGGGTAAAACTTCCCCAACGCTGTCTACTGATCAAGACTTGGATACTTTTCTTTTGGGAGATCTTGAAGACAGTGATGGGGGAGGTGCAGGTAAATCCTCTCCTCGATTCTGATTCATACCCCGATTTAACAAATTTCTATATTCTCTGGGGCCCTTGCACTTATCATCTTGAGCACATATTAAATGCAGAGTGGGGCAAAAACAAAGTTTTTGATGAAACCAAGCAAACTCCTTCCATGCTTATAGTTATGTTGTTTGTCATTTTTTTTCCAGATGAGGGTGACGAAAGCTTTGACGACGACTTTGACAAGATTGAAAACTCGGTATGTTTGTGCTTTCCTTTTGCTCTTCTCACATTGTATTCCAGCTTCCAATCTTAAACCGATCCGCAAACTTCATGGATGCCGCAGGACGTCGAAGAAGAAAATCCCAAGGCGAAGTAATACAATAAGAAGCAGATGCAACAGGTGAGATGGGGTTTTTTAATAGGATCGTGGCTTAGCTTCCATAACAAAAGGAAGAATGGGCTGCTGAGAAGAAAGTCGTGGTGCATACTCATACTATAGCGAGGTATTGCAGGTTGTTTCATTCCCAAAAATAAGAAGAAAATGAAGAATATTGTTGTTCTAGAAATACCAGTAAATTTTAGTCTATGCCGATTGTATTCAATTGTATAAACAAGGCTGACATTGAGTGACGACTCTATATAGTACTGGGGATGGCTGGTATTCCCTCGCTCGCAGGTGTACAGAATTTACAGATGAATTTGTTAAATCGATTATGGTTGTTTGGAATTATTCTACTTGCGGATGAACTTAACTTTCTTTTGGAGCTCTTTTTCTTACTTAGAAAAAGAAGGCGATGCAGAAACCAAGCGCCTTCTGAATCCCCACCCGCTACTAAAAAATTTCCTTTCACTCAATCAGTTCATCGCATTCCACTGGATGTCGACACCGACGACGTTGATCTCGTCGACTACCTCGTCGAGAAAATTAGTATTCTGAAGCTTTCATGGCCCCGACAGTCTGATTCTGCTGCTACTTCTCTTCTCCAAGGTGATAAGACAAATTCCCTGGTATGCTCATTTCTTATACTTCTGGACTGATATTGTTTCTCTTCGGTTGAAAATAGAACATGAAACCGTAAGCTTCCAAGTAGTGGGGGCAACTAGGACTCTCTCCACATGCCTGTCGAAAAATGAGTTGAGTATTCATAAGCAGTGACTTGGTTAGGAGTTATCTCTTAGCTTAGTTCTCTTTGTTTCGTTTGATAGATGGTCGGCAAGTATGATGGTCTTAATGATGAATATGCACGTATTTTGTCTTTTATTGGCGAATTTGAAAATCTCATGAATTGACTTGGGTTACAAGTATGGTTTTGGTCGTAATGACCGCTTCCTTTTGTGTAACTGGTTATTCCTTATCTTGAGACCAAATTGATTATTAGGCCGTCAAAATTGTAACCAAGTGTACTGGAAGCTATATCAGTAAAATATGGTTTCTTTTGGTAGAGTTATTACTCGAAGTGTTAGTGTTGGACAATCTACCTTGACTCGTGTTTTTAGTTTATTTTATTAAGTTTAAAATAATAATATTCCGACCCTTAGATTTTTTATTTAATATTCTAATAATCTTTCCAATAATAACTCTTAAAATTCTTCAAATTGTAGTTTGTTAGAAATAATCTTACGCGGTTAGTTTTTTCTTTTTCTTTTAAAAAAAAATGACGTGTTCTATTTGTGTGATGTGTCAATGCTTGTTTATTTGGTTGAATTGCTTTCTTATTGGCCACGCAAGACGTTTGCTTTGTGGAAAACTGAAAATCCTCCTCGTCAGAAAAAAAATTAATAAAACAAGTCAAATTCTTGCTTACGTGTCCTTTGTGTGCCAAAAGAAAAACCAACACTGTCGTAGTCTTCCTCTCATTTTTGGTGGGAGTCAAAGTCAAATTCTTATGTGTGCCATCGGTCACAAGGCCTTCATATTTGAACGTTCTTCGGAATTTTGAATCTAAATTCGACATCTAACATTTTCCATATTTTCTTATTACTTAGCCATGCTACTTCTTCGTTGAACTGTTGGTTGACAAAGCCTTGTGACTTCAGATTGTTGACAAAGCCTTCCGTGTCCTTCCAGGAGCTTCCATTACTCCGTACAGCGTCCACCGCCGCTCTCTTGAGCGCTCCTGCCTTCATTTTCTCCGGACAGTCTCCCCTCAAAGACATAGCGATCACTTTCCCCAACTCATCAGAATCAGCCACCGAGTTCGCCCCCTCACAAACCCGCACCGCCACTCCCATGTCGTCCACCAATAGCTTAGCGTTCACGAACTGGTCCGCCTCCATCGGCCAACCCAATATCAGCACCCCCGCCGTTACGCTTTTAAGCACAATTGCGAGGTTGACGACGATACATAACGGACTTTAGCAGACAATATTTATTAGCTGTGGGTTTGGGTGGTGTTGGTGCTAGCAAAAACGCTTTGACACAAAAGATGCGTTCTAAAATCTTGAGACTGACATGATACATAATGAGCCAAAGCAAACAACATCTATTAGTGGTGGGTTTGAGCAATGTTTGTGCCAGCAATAACGCTAAGAAGCATGTCTTATAAAGGTGTGGAAACCTATCCATATCTAATGACTTGTTTTTGCCTCTTCCTCCTCTCCTCTACCTCCACTACAACGGGCACGTTGACACTACGTGACAGCGATTCCAGCATCAACCACTTATCGTGATGCCTCCAACATCCCCTTCAATGCTACTTATCCCTCATCAAGATCCCATTCTCTGTTGAGGATTATTGGGAGTGAGTCCCACATTGGTTAATTTAGTAGAATGACATATGTGCAAAGGGGTCGGATAATACTACAACACCACCCCCAAAATTTCTTGGAACGACACATGTGCCAAATTTACCACATTGTGTAATTACATTACGATTTACCACATTGTGTAATTACATTACATAAATGTTTATTCCGAAATTTGGGCCGAAAATTCCTGGATCAACGGCGCGTTAAAAAAACCGAGTAAGCCCATTAGGCCCAATAAGGGAACAAGCGGGCTAACATTGTGCGGTGACCCAACGGGTCGGGTTTCGACCTGGTTGAAGAATGGGTGAAGGAATAAATGTTTAAGAAAACGTAGGTTTTAGGAGGGTTTAATGGCCGCCGCTGTGGTTCTCTTCTCCGTTCTCCCACCATTTTGAGATCTCTACCTTGATCTCTCATCCTTCCCGCGTTTGAATTCTTTGTATTCAACTTTGTGTTCTTAGTTTCTCACTGCCTGAGAACATTTCGGAGAAACTGCATATTCCGACTATCAGTTCTTCGCATTTTCCATCTCCTTCAGCTGCGTTTTGAATTGCTTGAACTTGTTGTTGTGGGAATTCGGAATCCCTACTACCAGAGAATGTGGAGAAACATTGTCAAAAGAGCTGCTTCAAGGAGGGATACGTTCTTCTCCAGAAAAGTTATTGAAGACTCTATCTTTGTTGAGGAAATTAGATCCTCCAGGACACTCGGAAGCTTGAAATCATGTTGCCTGTTAGAGGGCTCTCGTGGAATCAGCTTTTTCCATTCCCGTGAAGTTGGGTTTGCGAAATCCAATTTCGCACATTCAAGCGATCCCGTAGCTTTTTATGGGGTTCTAAACCATGCCAATGGCTACGCAACTGCTGCGGAGGCTGCGATTTCCGAGGAGGACTTATCAGGGTCGGAAGAAATTCAGGAATTGATGGAGGAACTAAGCAAACAAGATAAGGTGGAGTCTTACTTTCAGCAGCCTAAGAAAATGGTGGATGGAATGGGGGTCGGTAAGTACAATATTCTACGGAAGAGACAGATAAAGATGGAGACGGAGGCTTGGGAAGAGGCTGCCAGAGAGTATCAAGAGCTATTAACGGATATGTGTGAGCAGAAGTTGGCGCCCAATTTACCTTACATGAAGTCTTTATTCCTTGGTTGGTTTGAACCCTTGCGTGATGCAATTGCTGCAGACCAGGAGTTTTGCAAGAAGAAGAGTAGAGTGTCTCATGCTCCTTATTTTGATCTTCTGCCGGCGGATATGATGGCTGTGATTACAATGCACAAGTTAATGGGGTTGTTGATGACTAGCAGTGGAGGAAACAGTAGTGTCAGGGTAGTCCAAGCTGCTTGTCAGATAGGAGAAGCCATTGAACACGAGGTTGGTTAGTTTCAAATTCTTTTACTTTATTGTCTAAAATTTTGCATTTGTTTTAGATTTCCCATTGATATGAAGTTCGCTAGGTATCAAAGTAAAAAACCAGTCATGGTTTTCTTTCCAATATTGAGAGCTATCGATCATATAGCAAGGTTTCTTACCTCATTCTGTCAGTTTTTCTTTCTCTTATTTAGATATGTGATATATTTGTTCTTGTTTGGCAATGAACATCTGAACTCTGATTGACATTTTTAATAAAACAGTGTTGAATTAATTGAAATATTTGTTTGGACAATTTTCTTTTCTACGAAATAGGTTAGAATACACAAGTTCTTTGAGAATACGAAGAAGAAGAAGAGTAATGAAAAAACTACTGAAGGAGACACTGAACCTGTGGTCAAAGACCAGGAGAAACTGGCCAAAGAACAAGACAAATTGAGGAAAAAAGTCACCAACCTGATGAAGAAACAGAAGTTGCGGCAAGTGAGGATGATAGTCAAGGAACACGACCATTTAAAGCCTTGGGGCCAGGATGCGCATGTGAAGGTTTCTGTTTTTAATTTTTTGCCCATAGTTTCAATGTGAAGTAATGCGTAAATTCTGGTGTACTTGCTGTGAGCTACTGTAGATGTTGATGTACACATATTAACAGCGAGAAATTGTTTAATTCTGGTTTCTATTGCCTTCCAGGTTGGTTGTCGTTTGATTCAGCTATTGATTGAAACAGCGTATATTCAACCTCCAATGGATCAGTTAGGAGGGGGTCCTCCTGATATTCGTCCCGCCTTTGTCCATACTCTTAAAACCATCACAACAGAAGCACAGTTAATGAGCCTTCTGCTCTCTTGTTTTATTTTTCATATTTATCTCACTTCGATTTTTCTACATATTCTTTCTATGTCTGATCTGTATTACTACTACTACTAATTATTACCATTTGGTTTCTTCCCGCAGAAAGACTAGCAGGAGATATGGTGTTATTGAATGCGATCCACTTGTTCGCAGAGGCCTGGAGAAAACTGTAAGTAAAATCATACATTGTGGGCTGTTCCATACTCGATGTGAATTTGGTTGCTTTTCTATAAATAGTTTGTACACATTATTTTTGCTGTATGATTATGCAACTCTGTAGTTCTGCAAGGTTCTCTCTCTTTCAAAATTACTCAGTTTATGTCTTGGATTAGTGATTGTCTTCAGTTTTGTCTCAGGCAAGACACATGGTCATACCATATATGCCTATGCTGGTGCCTCCCCTTAATTGGACAGGGTAGGTTACTCTATATTTTAATCTATTTCAATAAATTCTAATAGTTTCCATAATATTCAGAGATTGAAAACCTAGTTTCATGTAACGATATTTACTGGTTCATTTGTTGAAGAGTATATATATCTGAATGATATGTATTTTCTTAAGCATAAGTTTCATTTGTGCTGTATGCTTGTTATGTTTGGTGTTTGATGTCTGCTATTCGTGTGTAGGTATGATAAAGGAGCACACTTATTCCTACCATCATATGTTATGCGAATACATGGGGCAAAGCAGCAACGTGAAGCAGTTAAAAGGGTTCCAAAGAAACAACTAGAGCCTGTTTTTGAGGTTTGAGAGTTCTGATGATTGTTTCCTAGTTTAATGATTTACATACACACCTTTGGTTTTGCCTGACCTCTTCCTCCATTCCCATATACCATGCTGAAAAATTAATATCACTGGACTCTAGAGACGATCATAAGATATTAGGACTCTGGTACTTCCTCTTTGTTGAAGAAGATTTTTGCTTTGACTATATGTTTCATGGGCTTTGTCTTTGAAGTTGCGATACCATCTTTAGAAGGAACTCCTAAGATTTTCCCATAGAAAAAAGCATCTTGTAGTTTCTTTTTGAACTTCAGTTACGTAAGAATTCTTAATATATGATGATTTTTGCATTTTTAGGCACTTGATACGCTTGGAAGAACCAAGTGGAGGGTGAACAAAAGAGTTCTTAGCATTATTGACAGGATATGGGCCAGTGGTGGTCGTCTTGCTGATTTGGTTGACCGTGAAGATGTATGTTACAGAAGAAGAATGCTAGTTGTTCCTATTTGCATGTTTTCCTATCTTATGAAATTTATATCTTTTTTTGTAACTTTAACTTTAACTTCAATTTGTACAGGCTCCTCTACCAGAGGAGCCAACTGTGGAAGATGAAGAAGAAATTCGAAAATGGAAGTGGAAACTCAAGGCTGCAAAAAAAGAGAATAGTGAGAGGCATTCACAGCGGTGTGACATTGAGCTTAAGCTTGCAGTAAGAACTTATTGAATGAATAGAATTTAAATTTGAATACTCTTATCAAATACATTTGAATTTACTTTTATTGTGAGCAGGTGGCCAGGAAAATGAAAGAAGAGGAGGGCTTTTACTATCCTCACAACTTAGATTTTCGAGGTCGTGCATACCCAATGCATCCACATTTGAATCATCTTGGTTCTGATATGTGTCGAGGAATTCTAGAATTTGCGGAGGGACGGCCACTTGGAGAGTCAGGGTTACGCTGGTTGAAGATACATTTGGCAAATCTATACGCTGGTGGTGTGGACAAGTTATCTTACAAGGATCGAATGTCATTTACTGAGAATCATTTGGATGAGATTTTTGATTCGGCAGACAGGCCTCTAGAAGGAAATCGTTGGTGGTTGGGCGCAGAGGATCCTTTTCAGTGCTTGGCAGTGTGTATTAATCTCTCAGAGGCTTTAAGAAGTCCATCGCCGGAAACAACTCTTTCCCATATGCCTGTACACCAGGTACTACTTACATTATTCTTGCAATTCGTCCCCAAATTATGAATGCAATTTTTGTTCTCTGCAACTTTATTCCTTTCGAAACCATAATCATATAGCTATTCTGCAGTATATATCTTTGTTTATCCTTATTTATTTCCCCATGATTTGGCAGGATGGTTCCTGCAATGGCTTGCAACACTATGCAGCTCTCGGGAGGGACAAGGTACTTTCAATTTCTCTAGTTAGATAAGTTTAAGATACAAAGTCAGCTGAGAAGTGAAGCTACTTCCATTTTTACTTGGCTATTTCTTATTCTGCGTGTTTGGGGATTGAAAATACCTCAATGCTTGCTTATTCGAAGCTAAAAACACCTGAATTTAAATAATGCTTCGTGTACTACACATATGAAGAACTTCAAAAATATTTCTTTTAACTATCTGTATTTTGGGGAACTCCTTAATTTTTACAAAAAAAGTCTTCTTTGAGATGACACGGTCTGTTTCTTAATTAGCATTTAATATTGTGTCATTTTTCTTCAGTTGGGAGCAGCGGCAGTTAACCTTGTAGCAGGAGATAAGCCCGCAGATGTGTACTCCGGAATTGCTGCCAGGTTACTGCATCTCTTGTTTGCATGTTTGATTGTAGGGAGGATTATTTAAGTGTTCCTCATTTTTTTTTTTAATGTTTTTTTAAAATTGCTCTTTGGTGTTTTTTACATATGAAAGTTGAGTCTTAATAACCCGGCAGGCGTCAATGCCATGTTTGTTTGAATAAGCTGAAAAGTATTTTGAAGCCTGGTCATTATGATAAGGGAGCTAATATATGCGTTCCGCGAACTATAGAAAATGAAAGTATGCTCAATGCAGGTGATATTTTTTAGATAAAATTTAAGTGACTCTGCTCTCTGCATTCAACTTTGGAAGCTTCGTTTACCAACTAGTATGAAAGGAAAAATACCTATTTAGACAGTATTCTCCATGCTTTCGGTATAAAAGTTTGCAAATGACTTGTGTTTTAGAGCATATTTAGCGTTCGGAGGGTATCTAGTTTCTTTGTTTATGTGTATATTTTTCTGGGTGCAGAGTTCTTGACATAATGCGAAGTGATGCAGAGAAAGATCCTGCAACTAATCCAAATGCGTTGCATGCTAGACTTTTAATCAATCAGGTCTGGTTACTAATAATTCTATGAGAATAATTTTTTTTAGAACTGTTTCTAATAGCTGTTGTATGCTTTTCCTCTAATGGATTCATATTTGTAACTGCAATTAGGTGGATCGTAAACTGGTGAAACAAACAGTCATGACATCCGTGTATGGTGTCACGTATATGGGTGCACGGGATCAGATTAAGAAAAGGTTGAAAGAACGAGCATCCATTGCTGATGATTCACAATTATTTGCAGCTTCTTGCTATGCAGCTAGAGTGAGTCAATAAACTGCCACTTGCTTGTGAGAAAAATGTAGCACATTTATGCCTATTTGCATGCATACTATAGTTTTGTTTCTTTTTTTTACACAACTTTTTCTTTTATATTTACAAGAAAAATGTGTTACTACAATTATTATTATTTTGAAATGAACGTGCTGCTGATTCGAAGACTTATCGTGCAGACTACCTTGACTGCCTTGGGGGAAATGTTTGAAGCAGCAAGAAGTATCATGAGCTGGCTTGGTGAATGTGCAAAGGTGCGGCCCTTAATTAGTGATATTGTCATTATTTTTGTTATTTTGATAAAGTTCGTAGTATCACTAGCTTGAAGTGGGAATTCTTCGTTAGTTCCCCTCCTCTTGTAAATTTTGTTCCTTCCTACAAAGAATGGACTTTTCATTGATTGGTGAAACCTTCACGCTGAAGCGATCATAAACATGCACCCACATGGGACTTACAGAGTCTTTACTAACTCACTCCTTTCAACATCATTTACATTACTTGGGCTCATTTGGTTTTCTCCAGGCATAAGTGAACTGGATAGTCTTCCCATCAGATCTTACCAGCTTCAAAAATAGATGTTTAGGAGAAAACTGCCAATGCATCGACCTTCCATCTTCACCATTTTGTAAATCACACTCAATAAATCTCCCAACTCCTCAGTTTCCTATCCTATTAAATTTTTTCCAGTCAAGATTTTCCTCTATTTCGTTTCAATTTCTCACGTACCCCCTACCACGACATAGAGTCACAACGTAGAGATTGAGAAATTTAACATCAATGGTTGGGTGACCAGCCATATTTCCTAGAACCTCACCCTTTACCCAAACCCACATCGAGCTTAATTTCGTCTTCGAACAAAGATCTTAATTTTGAAATACAACTACAAGGGTTGTGATCTCCTCCATATTTCTTCAATTTTCAGACTCATGCTCCTTCGTCTTAGCCGTAGGTACTTCAAATAATTTGATTTTATAACATCTTGAGGAGTGGGTTATTTTAGCAATGTTACGTTTCGTATCTTAGTTAAGTATAGTAATCTGATATTATGTGCATTTCAGCAAGCGTTCCTCTGTCTTTTTGTCACTCGACTAAGGTGTAGCTTTTCACACATTTAATTTTCAACAGGTAATAGCTTCAGAAAATCAGCCAGTTCGATGGACAACTCCTCTTGGACTGCCAGTGGTACAACCTTACCGGCAACTAGGAAGACATCTTGTAAAGTTCTAATAAATTTGTGAAATTTAAGCTAACAATGATTTGGACTTCTCCAACAAACTGAAACTGTAATTGACTTATTGCAGATCAAGACTTCCTTGCAAGTGTTGGCTCTACAACGAGAAACTGACAAGGTAAGGCCAACCAAATCAGGAATTATTGGGTAGACTCGATGCGTTTAAAACCTTTTGAAATTGAGACGCTTCAAGTTTATTAACTCTCTTGCGATTGAGAAGGGTCACTGTATGCAGTAGTGCAATTCATTGGTTGCATGATATGTTTACTAGCCGGATAATTCCTATTATTTTCTGTAGGTCATGGCTACGCGTCAGAAAACAGCTTTTCCTCCAAATTTTGTACACTCCCTTGATGGTTCTCATATGATGATGACTGCTGTCGCCTGCAGAAGGGCAGGCCTTAACTTTGCAGGTTCACTTCATTTTTCTTTTACTTCTCTATTGATTGGGTCCTTTATCTCAGTGAACTTATGTGAATTCTCAAGTGTTCAATCGTGGCCATATCTCTTCTTACCATGTTTGATTACAGGTGTCCATGATTCATACTGGACCCATGCATGCGATGTTGACGTAATGAACAGGCTACTAAGGGAGAAATTTGTTGAGCTATACGAGGCTCCTATTCTGGAGAATGTAAGTATCTCGCCCCATGTGTACTTGATCGGTTAACTTATCCTGGTTATTGGAGACAAAAGATACTCCTCTTCTGACAAAATAGAACACATTGACTGTACTATCCTGTAGCTACAAAGATCTAGTTGTCTTCTTCTGTCCTGGAATTTCTTTAACTTACAAATTGAACGGTTTTTGCCTTTACAGTTACTGGAAAATTTCCAAAAGTCCTTCCCCACTTTAAAGTTTCCGCCCTTACCCGATCGGGGAGACTTCGATCTCAAGGACGTCCTGCAATCTTCCTATTTCTTCAATTAGTGCAGCCTAGATACTTCAGTCGGATGTTCTTTCTCATATGTGCTACACGTCTGTGGCTGACATACAGTCCTGTCTACGACTCTTGAAATCAGACTCTGGAGGCGAGTTTGCTTCTTCGAGGTCAGTGCTGTCCAGCTACTTGTACATAACATATTCTCCAACCATTGGTAGTCTAAATCTTGGAACTTGGGAGTTCAATCTGCCATTCACGTATTCAACTTTTACCTTACAAAAGAAAGATAGGTTATATTTGGTGGAAGCTACGGAATTTCTACCTTCATTGTACTCTGATCCGGACTTCAGTTCTGACACTGCAATCAATTAGAGGTTCAGCGATGCTGAGAGACATGGCTTTCAAAGTGTGATCAATGAAGTAAGATCTCGGAGTAATCTCCCAAAGATCAGCTGGAGTGTTGCCCATGTAGTTTTCATAGGATCATGGCTTAGCTTCCATAACAAAAGGAAGAATGGGCATACTCATACCATAGCGAGGTATTGCAAGTTGTTTCATTCCCAAAAATAAGGAAAAATGAAGAAGATTGTTGTTCTAGAAATACCAGTAAATTTTAGTCTATGCCGATTGTATTCAATTGTATAAACAAGGCTGACATTGGATGACGACTCTATATAGTACTGGGGATGGCTGGTATTCCCTTGCTCGCAGTTGTACAGAATCTACAGATGAATTTGTTAAATCGATTATGGTTGTTTGGAATTATTCTACTTGCGGATGAACATAACTTCCTTTTGGAGCTCTTTTTCTTAGTTAGAAACAGAAGGCGATGCAGAAACGAAGTGCCTTCTGAATCCCCACCTGCTACTAAAAAAGCTTTCATGGCCGACTGTCTGATTCTGCTGCTACTACTCTTCTCCAAGATGATAAGACAAATTCCCTGGTATGCTCATCTCTTATACTTGAGGACTGATATTGTTTATGTTCCGTTGAAAATAGAATATATAACCGTAAGCTTCCAAGTAGTGGGGCCAATTAGGACTCACACCACGTGCCTGTTGAAAAATGAGTTGATTACTCATAAGCAGTGACTTGGTTAGGAGTTCTCTCTCAGCTTAGTTCTTTTTGTTTCGTTTGATAGATGGTCGACAAGTATGATGGTGTCTTAATGATGAATATGCACGTATTTTATGTCTTTTATTGGCGAATTTGAAAACCTCAGTAATTGACTTGGGTTAAGTGTGGTTTTGGTTGTAACGACTCCTTCATGTTGTGTAACTGGTTATTCCTTACCTCGAGACCAAATTAATTATTAGGCAGTAAAAACTAAGAGGTGTACGGTAAGCTATTTCAGTAATAGGATTGCTTTTGGTAGTGTTAGTGTGAGACAATCTACCTTGACTCGTCTTTTTTTATCATTTATACATGAGTTAAAATTGATTGGACAAAATAAAAGAGACATGGAAGAAGATTGCTTTTGGTAGTGCTAGTGTGATGTTCTATTAGTGTGACGTGTCGATGTTTGTTTATTTGGTTGAATTGCTTTCTTAATGGCCACGCAAGACGTCTGCGTTGTGGAAAAATGAAAATCCTCATCGGAAAAATTAATAAAATAAGTTAAATTCTGACGTGTCCTTTGCAACATTGTCGTAGAATAAATCAAAGTCTTTCTCTTATTTTGGGTGGAAGTCAAAGTCAAACTCTTACGTGTGGCGTGTGTCACAAGGCCTTCATATTTGAACGTTGTTCGGAATTTGGAATCTAAATTCGACATCTAACGTTTTCAACATTTTCTTATGACTTAGGTCATGCTACTTATTTTTCTTGAACGGTTTTCGAGAGTGAAAACTGTCCGATAAACCATCGTGATTATCAATAATATTCTCAATTGGTCACATAACATAGACTTGTTTCAAGTCAAACACGTATAATTAAATTATATATAAAAAAAAGTATTTTGTTGATATATATTATAAACTTGCCCCGACCATGTGTTACATTTGAATGTCTACTCTTATTTGGATGTCGTCTTGTCTTATTCATGTTATAGATATATCAATATTTTGATAAAACGTGGGTCTTCCGTGCTTGGAAGCTAAGTAAAGTCACATGTTGTATTTCTTGTTCTCAAATTAAATAACGTTATATATTTGATGAAAATATTAAAGAATCAAATCTTCACTTTCACATATATTCGACATAACAAAACCCGATGAAACTAAGGTCTTCCATGTTTGGAAACTAAGTCGAGTCACAATTTCAAGCAGTCCAAACTAAGAAAAACACGACACCCGAACGTGTCTTGCACGTTCCGGAGCTAACATAAAATACGCGTAACCTGTGGGATGTAACCGAGTAGAAGCTTAATTGAAGTTGACCTTGTGAGCAGAAGAGAAATGCTTGGCTGCAGCAACCATGGCGGCCTCTGGTCCAGTTGGAGGAGAAGGAGCAGCAGCAGCAGCCATGGCTGCCTCTGGGCTTCCGCCATTAAAGCCAAGCAAGCAATAAATGAAAGACTTAAGAGTGGACCAAATCAAATTCATTTTCTCAGAGAAGGAAAAAGAAAAGGGTTTTTTTTTATGAAATTGTTGAGAATTTGAGCGTTGTTTCCCCCATTTTATAGGCACAGGAAATTAGGGTTCTTGATAATCAAGAAAAATATGCCATTTTTTACCCCTTTTTTAATATAAAAAATTAAATTAAAAAGGAATTTTTTGAATTTTTATATTTGAATATTTTTCCTTGCTTCTTGCTCAAGCATGAACACTCTTTTCCATCACTATATATTTAACTCTTCTATATTTGACTTTTCTAAGCCTAATAATCTTAATTTTGACCAATGTTATCACACACGACATAAATAATCTAACTTAAAGTTATCGAACAAACATGAACATGACTACCCTGATAGAATAAGATCCATTTTGTATCATATTTAAGGGATTTCTGGGTTCGGCCCGAAGAAGCAATGTCACTCGATCATTATCAAATCGACTGCAATCTTTTTCTGTTTGTGAGGATCCCAATCCCAACCGAACGCCTTCTACTTCTAATAGGCCATGAACTAGATCACAATCATTCTCAATGAGTTCATAACAAGTGACCCCATTTTTTCTGGTTTGGTTCCATGGCTGTCATCTGTACGGGTGCCTTATTTATGTTTGAAAAACAAGAATAGCTGTAATCCCATAGTTAGAATCGAAAAATGCAAACACAGATTCAAATTTCTTTCTGTTAATCAAATATTTAATAAATTAAAATATATGAATAAAAATTTAATTTCTAATCTTATTAAAAAAAATTAATATTTTAATTTTTTTTTATTGACATAAACGAAGATATTTCATTGATTTTTTTGAGTTTATTGCTGGTAAAAAATAAATAATTGTTCACTATATTTTTTTAATTTTTTTTTATATTGTTTAGTAAATTTCAATTTTGATTAAAAAAATAAATTTATAGTATTAAAATTTTCGTAATTCTTGTACCAAATAGATTCATTCACAGTCATTTTTATCAATAAATAATAAGAAAAAAGTTATATATTTTTCATAATTATTTACTATTCAGAAAATTAAATATTTTCGATATATTGTTTTGCTTGCAATAATGGGCCTTGGGCCTTGGGCCTTCCACTTTTCGGCCTGTAGCGATAAAGCCCAATTTCAAGTTCAATAGATTTCTTAAAATGACCTATATACCCATTGTATTTGGTTTTAGTTGATGTAAATTTGCGAGGATAAAATTGAAATAATAAAATATTTAAAAAATAATAATAATTTTGATTTTATTTTTTCTATCTCCAGTAACATCCTAAAAAAAGTCTCTAAAAAAAATTTAAGCTTCAAATATTAATACTTTTAATTATATTAAAAACTATTTTTATTCTAAAACTTTAATTTTTATCCATATATTTAAAAATGGTAATAATTTAGTTTTTATCCTAAAAAATCAATGTTACTCAGATTTATTGAGATTTCTTACCTATATGGGTAAGATTTAATGTCGTAAAAGATATTATTTAAAAAAATTATTAAATAATAAATTATAAACAAATAATTACTAAACTAAATAAAAAAAAAAAACATAAGCACAAATTATATTTTAAAATTAACTTTATAAATTTTTTATTTATTTTAACTCAACTTAACTTAAATAAATTTAAATAAAATATTTTGGGTAATTTAAAATATTAATCATTTTTAGTATTTAAAAAACTAATAAATAGGAATTTAATATATCTAGTCTACATTTATAAAGTAGACACTAAAACCATGGGCAGACTCGAGAGTGTACTCTATTAAATTTATTACAATTATTTAATAAAATAATAATAAATAGTCCTTTTTAAATTAAGAAAAAAAGTATTTATCCAGTCAGCTTTGTGTCTGTGTGTCATGAAGAAAACTGTGAGCGTGTATGCCGCGGTTTGGAAGAATCAAAAGACACGTGAGAGGATAATGCCTACACGTAGGAAATAAAATTTTGGAATTACTAGTGAGATTATCGTGTCTTGAATTGGCAGCATCCTACGCGGAAACACCACGTGGGATTCTCGTTCATGCGTGGACTCTGACTCAGCTGAACCGTCCCATTCCGGTTCGGAATTAAGGGAGAAAAAGAAGTTAATACAATAAATAAATTAATAATTCGTTTTACGGTCAAATTGGAAGATGATGATAGAATTGACACGTCATTTTCATAACCAGCTGGCATGGCTTAAATAAAACGACTCTTTCTCAATTATGAAAAGGCCAATAAAACAACAATAATAGTAATATAAAATAGTTAAAGTAACACAAAATACCCATGCACGACAAAATTCAGATCAAGACAAAACGTTCGAGAAATCATAATGCATGCCCATTACTCGTGGTATCTTGGAGTTTATAAGTAAGAAACATTATTTTCATTGGTACGAGGTTTTTTTTTTTAAAAAATCATAATCAAAGTTATGAGAGCTCAGGCTCAAAGGGAACAATATCATACTATGGTAGAGGTTCGTGATTTTTATTATATCTTCTTTATTGGTTATTTATTTGGTATAAGTGGATAATATGATTTTAAGATATTTTTTAAAAATGTAAATGTCAAACAAAAAAAATAAAATAATAAAAACAAAATAAAAGTGAAGGAGATCAAATATTTTGGAAATGACAAGGAGGGTATATTTATTTAATTGAGGTAAGAAAAAGAAAAAAAAGGAAAAAAGTACATGGGGGCAATTTGGTAAATTCAATGGTGTGAAAATTGACGGTCAGATTGGGGCAGGAAACTGGGTAGTACAGAGAACTACAGATTCGAAAGGGCAAACCCAAAATAAGAAAACCCGCCCGGCCCGGTCGCTGATGAAACCAGGTGTCCCACAATTCGAGGTGACCTGCCACGTCACTAACGAATCTCTTATCTCCACGTCACCATCCCCTTTCATCGTACGGTCATTAATTCCAGCATCTCTCATCATCAACGGCTCTCACCATTCCTTCCAGAGTGTTCGAATCTGAAAGGCCAGAGCAAGAGAGTGGGTCGGCATGTAACCAGGGTTAGTTGTTTTAACCTGGCTTCTCTCACTCGAGTTAAAGAGCGTTCACGGAGGACGGATTTCTGAGAGGCAAAACGGAGAATAAAACGAAGAGAGATAGAGATTGAGGAAACTGTGAGAGAATTTGTGTGTGGGTTTCATTTCTCTCTTCACTTAGCTCCGACGATTCTTTGCTCTTGCCTGTTTCTTGGATTTGATATTGATTCATCGAAGGCCTCTCATTCTCGTGTTTGCGAAGCTCTGACGGCGCCGGCTCACGGATAGCGTCGATTTGGGTGGGGAATCTGATTACTTAATTTGTTGGATCGTGAAGGATCTATAGAATTCAGGTGAGTTCTTTCTCCGATTTCGAAGTTGTTACTTTGTAATGCTTGTTTTGTTTGTGAGTATGTGTTGAATGAATGATGGTGTTTTATTTGTTTTTTCTTTCTGTTTACTTGTTTCTCATTGTTGAATTTCATTTCTCTGATCTCCAGAACGTCGTATTGAGCTTGGTCTCTTGTGGACCTTCTCTCCTGCCCCGAGGGGAGGGGGAGGGGGGAGGAGGTGCACCTTTCACAGATTTCGTTTAACTGTTGGAATTTGTTCTTGAGGGCGAATGAGGATCTCGTTCCGATCATTTGTTTGCTTACACGATGAAGTGGTTAGAGAAGAGATCCTTTTTCTTCTTCTTCTTCTTCTTCTTCTTCTTTCTCTATCACTGGGAGAATCTGTTTTTGGAGTCTTTGGCTCTGGACCTTGAAATTTTATCGAGATGTTAATTTTCTATATAGGGAACACCGTTTTCCCTTCCTTTTATAAACTCAGAACAACGTGTAAGCTAATCGATGAAGGTGTATTTCATCCTATCGGCCTTTTGTAACTATTGATTTTTTTATCTTACAATGAATTTGGGTTTCCCTGTAGAAAAGGGCCATAAATAATGCATAATTCAGTGTTCTTGGTGTATGCATTCTTTTGTTGAGTCTCTAGCCCAGCTCTAGATATGGGGACTCTTATTTGAAAGTCTGGATAAATTCACCTTTGTTTTTGGACATTTGTCCATTGGTAGTTAATTTTGTATCGATTTTATTGTTTCTTCAGGTCAATTGTTAATTTTGATTTCTTTGTTTTACTCCCGCAGATAATCAGGTGCTGTGAGTCTGGAGAAATGGATCTGTAGTTGTAGCTTTCGGCTGCATCTTTTTGTCTGTGGTGTTTTTCGATCTCAGAGCTTTGTTTCTTTGAGAAAGATGGCCGGAATTGATGCTTCCTCTATCAATTAATGATTATTCGGGGTCCTAGACTCTGGTTTCCTTGAACCAGCATTCTGTTTTGAGTTTGCAATTTTCTTGGGAGGGAATTCGTTTCTCTTCCTTGGCCATTTCAGTCGTTGGCAGCAAGCACGTCCTCCTTTTTTTGTTCATTGTTTAATGTCACGGAAGTTGGACAGTCCAGTTCAGACTCAAATGGCAGTTGCAGCACTCAAGAGCCCACTCAGCCGGGATTACCGTGCAAGAAATGGAATGGAAGAAAAGCTACCCGTTGGAAGGAGACAAGTTTTTGTCCAAACTGACTCAGGATGTGTACTGGGAATGGAATTAGATCGCAACGACAATGCTCATACGGTGAAAAGGAGATTGCAGATTGCCCTCAATATTCCGACCGAGGAGAGCTCGCTGACATTTGGGGATGTGATTCTAAAGAATGATCTTACTGCCATTCGAAGTGATTCTCCTCTTCTTCTCACGAGAAATCTGATGCATAGAAGCTCATCTACTCCATGTCTCTCGCCCACTGGGAAGGATCTCCGACTTCGAGACCAGAGTGGACCTATTGAGATATTGGGGCATTCAGAGCGTTTTTCTGGCACGAGACGGTTGGTCAAAGAGATTGTGAAAGCTATTAAGTTGGGTATTGATCCAATTCCTGTTCATAGTGGGCTTGGTGGTGCTTACTACTTTAGGAATGGGAAAGGTGAAAGTGTTGCAATTGTGAAGCCAACTGATGAAGAACCTTTTGCACCAAATAATCCAAAAGGTTTTGTTGGTAAAGCTCTTGGACAGCCAGGATTTAAACGTTCTGTGCGTGTTGGGGAGACCGGATTCAGAGAAGTTGCAGCATATCTTCTTGACTATGAGCATTTTGCAAACGTGCCTCCGACAGCCTTGGTGAAGATCACTCATTCAATCTTTAATGTGAATGATTGGGTGAATGGTAACAAGCCTCACAAGAAGAAGTCAGTCAGTAAAATTGCTTCTTTCCAACAGTTCATTCCACATGATTTTGATGCTAGTGATCATGGGACTTCTAGCTTCCCAGTTGCTGCTGTTCATCGTATAGGTATCCTAGATATCAGGATTTTTAATACTGATAGGCATGCTGGGAATCTCTTAGTTCGTAAACTTGATGGAATAGGAAGGTTTGGTCAAGTGGAGCTTATTCCTATAGATCACGGTCTTTGTTTGCCGGAAACTTTAGAAGATCCGTACTTTGAATGGATCCATTGGCCTCAAGCGTCAATCCCATTTTCAGAGGATGAGCTCAAGTATATTGAAAATCTTAATCCGATCAAAGACTGTGAGATGCTTCGGATGGAGCTCCCCATGATTCGTGATGCTTGCCTTCGGGTTTTGGTACTCTGTACAATTTTTCTGAAGGAAGCTGCTGCTTGTGGTCTCTGTCTTGCTGAGATTGGTGAGATGATGAGCAGGGAATTTCGTAGTGGAGAGGAGGAACCCAGTGAACTTGAGCTAGTATGTCTTGAGGCTAGGCAGATCATAGCAGAAAGGGAGCTCTGTTCTCCCGTTGATGACTGGGGCAACGATGAATTCCAATTCGACTTAGACTGCGAGGAGCGAGAATTAGATTATAACTCAAGTGTGGCAGCGGATCAGTGTTTGGGCTGGTCTCATTACCAGTTTGGTGGACTTGGAGGCATGCATGGCCGCAATCCACTCTCTAAGTTAGAGGAAAGCATTGAAGAAGAGGGAGAAGATAGTGCTGGGGAGGAGCAAGGAGAAACAGCAACCTTTCCACCTTCTGAACCCATTTCTGCTGTGTCAAAGCTTTCCATGTCTCTCAAGAACACCATACTGGGTGATAAGAACCAGAAACACCAGAAGTACCAGGTCTCAAAACCTGAATATGGATACATTACCAACACTTCTGCAGGGCACAGGAGTGCAAATGAGCAGTTTCCTCCAAGTGTCAGCTTTGTGAAGCTCGGTGATATGAACGACGAAGAATGGACCCTGTTTCTGGATAAATTTCCAGAGGTGCTCCGCCCAGCATTTGCCAAACGCCAATCTGCAGCGCTCGGGCAGAGGCAGAGGCAGAGGCTTGGTACTTCTTGCCAGTTTTGAGACGATGAGGTTCAGTATGTTGCTGTGATAGAGAGCTTTATAGTTTATTAAATAATAGCGCATTAGAATTATCGAAGTGATCGCGACGACTCACTATTAGGATTGGCTTGCATTGTGGGTTTTCATCCTCGACATCGAGCTACTCATAGTTGGGGCTCAGTAAGAGGAGCTTGCTGTATATATTCTTCTCATCAGCTAAGTGATAGTCTTGCTGGTAGAATTGTTTGTATTCCTTGGTATTTTCTCTCCTACCCTTTCTTCCCTTTGACTTGTGAACTTGTTTGATAAATAATTTGTATGCAACTTGAAACCCTCAAAAAGGTGCAATGTAAATAGGGTACTCTATGTTCTATACCTGCCTTAACTTGATTCTTTTATTCTTTTTCCTTCTTCAGCCATACGCGATGTGCCAATATGATATCATTCTTCTTTTGTTGTTGACTCCATGTTCTTGCTGATTTCATGATTATATCTACTTTCTGCAAGTTCAAATGCTGTTCTTGATAGTTGATGACCACCTTAGGACTTTTTTTTGGTTGTATTGCCTCTGTTTTCCTTTCAATACAGGTGGCTGCCGTCCATGGATTGATTATTTTTTGCTCTCTTTCGTGCCGTCATGTCTGTGTCTCTCTTTTCTTTTTAATAATGCTTCACTAGTCATTGAACTTGTATAATTTGACAAGGACAGCAGTAATGTTTTCTTTTGTATTAGCTATTGGGGAAATGATTGAAGCCATTCTTTACTACATAAAAAGAACAAACAAAGAAGGATCACGATAATTAGTAAAGAAATATCATTGATCGTTTGGACCCCATGGATGAATTATTAGATTCCATGAAATATATCTTAGCGTTGGCTTTGTACCAAAACTTTTGAACTGTTCTTCCGTTCTTTAAGACTTTATCTCATCATCGATCCTATTGGATCGATTCATAGTCTCTTTTTCGATTTTTGGAAGACTGAGATAATGGAAACTTGAAGTTGAATGTTGCTAGTTGATTTGTGTGTGGTGAAAAGCTTGCTCTGTTGTTGTTGGAATTTCCCTTTTTTGATCAGGTTGAAGTGTTTGGTGCGCATACGCAATTCAGGAGTCACCATAGCTTGGATTAGCATGAAACTAAGCAAGAAGTTAGGTTGAAAAATGGTGGAAGAGAAAGAAAAAGTGCGCATAGAGATTATAACGGGTGAAAGAAGGGATGAGGTGGAGCCAGATTTTGTGATTTGACCTGTTTTGTTTTTCTTGGTAGGCTGTCTATTTGGTGGGGGTCCTGTTTTGTTCTTTGAATGGTTTGTAATCCAAGCTAAAATGATTCATAAAATGGGGAAGGAAAAGGATAGAGACAACTGTGGGGCTTGTAACCTGTTTTTCTTAGGAGCCAGTCACTAGTAGATTCAGTTTAAAAATCGTGAGGTTAACAGCAATACGTAAAGGGTCAAAGCGGACAATATCTCATATAGCGATGGACTTGGACCGTTACAAATGGCTATCAGAGCCAGTCACTAGATGGTGTGCCAGCGAGGACGCTGGGCTTCCAATGGGAATGGATTGTGAGATCTCACATTGGTTAGAGAGGGGAACGAAGCACTCTTTTTAAGATGTGAAAACCTCTCTTAAAAACCGTGAAGCTGACAACGATACATAATAAACTAAAGTAAACAATTTTTACTAGCAATGGGTTTGAACTATTACACATGTATAGAAAGAAACGAGAATATATTGGTCCCAACACAATTTGAAAGATTTTTTTGTCCACCGTCGTTGGAGAACATCGAGTTTCCATAGGGGAATCATTCTAGCATGGTGACTTAGATAAAGTTGGAACTTAAAGTGCACGGAATCTCAAATCTTGGTAAGAAATCTTCAAGTATAATATGATAACACGACTTATTGATCTACACTTCATCATATTCTTTTGAGTAAGATAAGAATCTTTTGAATAAGATAAGAACTCGAACCATCTTGAACGGTAGCCCAAATGTAACTGATTAAAAGGCTACTGATATGACCTCTTGAAATAATAGAAACACATATCACTGTTGAAACAGATCTATTTCTAACTCAACAGAAATAGGGCCTATAGACTTGATTCTCAGCCAATTTGGAGCAAGCTCGGAGTCCAATCAGTCCAATCGTGAAACTCAATCGACAAAAGGCCTTTGTCGACATTTCTCAAGGATGTAGAAGATATGGGGAGGTTCCATGGTCTCTCTGCAAGATTTACAGATTCACTTTGCCGAAAACAATCGACAAGATGATCAATCGTCAACCCTGCAGCTTGCATGAATGAATAGAAAATCACTAGCCCGACAAACCGAAAACTATGCACCCGACTCTGCTTTCCACCATCATAATAGCCTTGTCTGATGCTATATCTGTTATCTCTTTCTCCCCCATGTTGGCCAACCGTACTTGGCTCAAATCCATCTAGATTGTATCCACTTTGGCCCATTACGTATCGTCATCAGTCTCACGATTTTAAAGCGCGTCTACCTAGAAAGAGGTTTCCACACCTTTATAAGGAAGTTTTGTTCTCCTCTCCAATCGATGTGAGATTTCGCAATACACCCCCGGGGGTCCAGCGTCATCGCTGGCACACCACTCGATACCTGTCTCTGATACCATCTTTAACAGCTCAAGCCCACCACTAGTAAATATTGTCCAATTTGGCCCATTACGTATGGTGTTGTGAGTACATTGGTGTCTCTTTGTGTAATTCCGTTCATTGGTGTTGTGAGTACATTTGTTCCGCTTTCGGCGCACAACAAAAGCAAGTGTAAATAAGATCATGCCATTCTTAGTTCCTACTCCTTCACCTCAAAGTTCGAGGCATACCCATTGCCTGCATAGATTAAGATATGCCATCCAACAACTCTTTGTCGGCCTTTTTGCATCCCATCTTGATTGAGATTACCCTAGCGTGCAATAGGATTCATGATACACTCGTAATGTATATGGTTGTCATAGCTTGTCTTATGTCCAGTGAGATAACTCACTAGTGACAAGAGATAAGGTCAACATAGTAGATGTCGTTACGGGTCAGATGTGTTTGAGATTTAGTCAAGAATACTTGTCTTCCGAGCGTTTGTGTACTTCAAAATGGATATACCATTATGTGGGAGATATACGATGAAATCGGAGCCCCTCGAGTGAATATACAACCTCCATAGTTACAATCTGCTACACATGTTCCATGGATGAAGCTCTGGAGTTCAGAGATGACATGGAGAAGCATGGTCTGGAAATGGAAGCTCTACGTTTGAAACCAGATTTTATATATTCAATCCCTCATTCATGGCCTCTGCAAGGAACGTATAAATGGTTAAGACTCGGTGGTACTGTGCAACTATATTATAAGACGATACGAAACGGTATTAGAGGCTGGAAATCATTTGTAACAGTTCAACCTCACTACTAATAGATATCGTCGGTTTTGGCTTGTTATGTATCGCAGTCAGCTTTACGATTTTTAAAACGTGTCTGCTACGGAGAGATTTCCACACGCTTATCCTCTCCAACCAATGTGGGATCTCACAATCCACCCTCCTTAGAGGTCCAACGTGTGATGTCCGACATTGGTTGGGAAGGAGAACAAAACACCATTTATAAAGTTATGGAAACCTTCCTCTAGCATATGCGTTTTAAAGCCTTGAGGGGAAGCCCAAAAAGAAAAGCCCAAAGAGAACAATATCTGCTAGCAGTGGATCTCGACCGTTACAAATAGTATCAGAACTAGATACCAGACTATGTGCCAGCAAGGAGGCTGCTGTTCCCCAAAGGGGTAGACACGAGACAGTGTGCCAGTAAGGACGCTGACCCCAAAGGGGAGTAGATTTGACGGGGGTCCCACATCGATGGAAGAGTGCCTGGACACCCCCCTTGGGGGTGGATTGTGATGTCCCACATTGATTGGGGAGGAGAACAAAACACCATTTATAAGGATATGAAAACCTTCCCCTAGCAGATGCGTTTTAAAGCCTTAAGAAAAGCCCAAAGAAGACCATATCTACTAGCGGTGGATCTGGACTATTACAAACGTCTTTGTTGGCAGGCCATCCACCCTTCTTGGGGGTCCAGGACGCTGGCACACCATCCGGTGTCTGGCTATGATACCATTTGTAACAGCCCAAGCCCACCGTTAGTAGATACTGTCCACTATAAAGCATGCAAAGAATACATACTGATACAATGCTCTGGTTTCTATGGAGGATCGAAATATTACTCACAAAAGTTACTAGAAATTCCGACCAGGAAGCTGCTTCAGCTTGTCGACAAAGCCTCGCATGTCCTTCCAGGAGCTTCCATTACTCCTTACAGCGTCCACCGCCGCTCTCTTGAGCGCTCCTGCCTTCATTTTCTCCGGACAGTCTCCCCTCAAAGACATAGCGATCACTTTCCCCAACTCATCAGAATCAGGCACCGAGTTCGCCCCCTCACAAACGCGCACCGCCACTCCCATGTCGTCCACCAATAGCTTAGCGTTCACGAACTGGTCCGCCTCCATCGGCCAACCCAATATCAGCACCCCCGCCGTTACGCTTTCAAGCACCGAATTCCACCCGCAGTGACTCAAAAACCCCCCGACTGCTCGGTGGTTCAATATCGCCACTTGTGGAACCCATTCCTTCACCACAATTCCCCGATCCGACACCCGATCTTCGAACCCAATTGGTATTCCATTACACCCACCAACTGTTTGATTAAATGTCTTAACCACCCACACGAATCGAGCGCCGCTTCTCTCAAGCCCGGAAGCCAGTGCCTCCATTTGCTGCTGATTCAGCTGCTTTTGACTCCCGAAACAAACGTAAAGCACCGAACTATCAGCGCAGCCATCGAGCCATGTGAGTACCTCCGAGCTCGAATCTCGAATTGAGCTACGCCCATCGCCTGCGCGGATGAGATTTAGCGGTCCAATTCCGAACACACGCCCTTCGCCATTCAAATCCCTGAAGTGCTCCAAGAACTCACCCTCCAATGTCTCGAAGGAATTGAAGACGCTAACCCAGCCGGATGTATTAGCCAACGCGTCGTCCCTTAATAAATCCCAATCCGGGTTCGAATCCTGGTACCGCTTGATTAACGACGGTAAATGGTCCTTTTTGAAGGAGGGGGAATTGGGGATTTCGTTGAAATGGAACACAGGGGAAGAACGGAAAAGGTCGGTTTTAATGTGGAGCCAAGAGTAGTGAAGAACATTGACGAGGAATGCGCCGCAGGAGTAGTAAACGATCCTGGGGATTTGAAGGTGGTCGGCGAGGTGTTGGGTCCAGCCGAGGAAGGAATCGGAAATGATGGCGGCGGGAGGGGCGGGGTGGGAGTTGAACCAGTGGACGATCGGGTCGTGGAGTTGGCGGAGGGCGACCATGA